ATTCCCTATAGAACAGAGATTCAAGGAGCATCAATACCAATACTAGCTTATCGAGAGTCTACACAAGCCTGAGAAAGGTCAAACTTTTTGCTCATGGAATTGTAGCAAAGTTTGAATATTTTTGAATCGCTTTGCTGGAATTGAACGAATTGAACGAATCTTTTTTTATCATTGAATGAATGGTAGCAAATTCCTCCCCTACTGTTTCCTTTCCGCCGAATAGAAGCTTTTCCAATACATTTAGCAAATTTCAATCGGCCAAGAAAGGAAACAACTCCAGATTCAACTTATCAAGAGGCAAGACGCACCTAAACCTCTACAGGGAAGCTTGAAGAGAGAGAAATTTACCATGACCAGTTCCAGATTCATCATCCTCTCTTCTTCCAAGCCGCATCCATTTCTTCTCAAGTGCGCGATTTCGATCGTCGACGACAGCGAGACCATGTCCCCATTCAATTCGTCAAATCCCTACCTTTAAATGAGAACCCCGCGTTGTATCCGCTGAATTCGGTCCAGGCGCTGATTTTCCCCAACCTCTTGGCGTGCCTCCCGTCGATTAAACCCGATTTGGACAGAGAGCTCGAAGAAGTAGTGGATTCCTTCGTCGCCGTATGAGAGGATGGAGAGGATTAGTTCCTGTTGGGAATAGAAGTGGGAGGAGCGGGAGCCACTGCGGAGGGAATTCACGTACTTGACGAATTTCCCGATGCGGAAATGCCTTCTTGTCGAGGCTGACGCTGGACTCGAAGCTCTTGACGCGGTTGGGTAGAATTAAGGTTTCGGGGAGGATCGTGGAGGAGAGGATGATCCTGGGCGGAATCAATATGAAGGTGGAGGGGATAGCAGGACGAAGAAGGAAGAAGAAGAAGAAGAGGGAATTAGGGATGGTCTGTGGAGGGTGTCCTTTAGTTCTATATGGACGTGGGTTTGGTTGGGTATTGGGGTTGGATAGTTGAATCGAAAGATCAATCAAAAAATCACTTCACCCACCCAGACCAATTAATTAGACCAAATTGCAAACATTTATATCTTGTAATAGGGTTTTGGTAATTATTGTTATAATTAATAAGTGATTTAGCGAAGAAAAATCAAGAGTCGTTGAGATCACACGTACGGTGAAGATTACCCAGGGTATGTTATACCCCGGATTTACCCGGGGTACCGTAGAACTCCCTATATATATATTATTTGGTTACAGAAAATGAGGCTTTGCACGTTTTGGGGAAGAAAATTATGACCAAATATTTGGGGAGTTTCAAAAGTTCTTTTATGGGTTTTGGAGGGAGGGAAGTTATACCAACTAGTTGGAGGGATTTTCAAAAGTGCTTTTATGGTTTCGAGGGTGGGAATTTGAGACCAAATATTTGGATGGGGGAGTGGTTTAAGGGGTCGTTTGGAAGTTGCGATTGTTAAATAGATGTATTGTTGAGAATGCATGTATAATATTATACATGTATTGTCGAATTTGATGCATTGTAGAATACAACGTTTGGTATGTGTGATTGTGTATGTCGCATCAGCTAAAAGTTGAGACAAAACAATCTCAACAATCACAACAAAAGTTGAGATATAACAATCACTCAAAATGAGTGATAGTTTCTGTCACATCACAGAAACAATCAATGTATTGTTTCTGCTAAAAAAACAAAAAAACGATGCATTGTAAACAATACATGCATAATGACAATCTCAACAAAACAATCGCAACTTCCAAACAAAAATGTAATTTAAAATTTGGGATTCAAAAATTTTCCCTCAACTTTTTGGTGAACATCTAGGTTTTCCTTTCTTTAATACTTACTATGGTAGATGATAAATCTTTTTTTTTTATAATCGATAGATGATATATCTTATACCGATAGTTTGTTGTCATTCGTTGGTTTTAATGTCATTTGAATATGACATATTCACGATATACATTCTCAAGTTTTCAAAATATTTGAAATGTGTATTTCTACCCAATAATTAAATTAATTGTTAAGAACAAATTAGATAATAAAAATATAAAACCAAAATATCTATCACCAAAGAAATACAAATGGAATAGTTAGTGTGCTACTTAATCTTAATGGAAAGTCATAGCTTTTAAAATTTTAAGTGTCTGTATGTTTTTAGTTTAAAGGACATCAAATTCGTTAGATGAAATTTGAAATGCTAAAAAACGACCACCACCTCTATTATTATATATTTCTTGATGGTTAATGGAGTTTCTCATCGAATACCCATAACTCCTTAATCGTAAACCATACACCACTAAATTGTAAAGCATAACCATGAAGAATGTAGCTATACGTCATCTAAACCATGACCATATACCCTATACACTAACCGTAAACTATGAACTATAGCTATATGTTATGACATTGTTGGTAGAACGTATGTTATGTGAAGAATGTATGTAAGTTAACTCAATTTTATATTTGATTATTGTGAAGAACATAAGCCATAATCTTCCTAACTCTAAACCATGAGTGTAATACCCTATGCATTAACCTTAAATCTTGAACTCTAGTTACATGTCATGAAATTGTTGGTAGAACTTAGGTTATGTGAAGAAAGTAGGGTAAATCAATTTTACATTTTATATTATTGTGTAGAACATAAGTCCTAATTCTAAGCTTCCTAACCCAAAATCATTTTAGAATTTGATACAAGTGTCTCACTGATGATTATTTATAAATACTTGTTGTAAGTTGTAACCAAGTTTAATTAAGTCAGTTTTACGTTTTGCATTTCAGAAAATAAATTTCAAGAATGGTCTTTCTAAATTCTAATTTATGAACCATTAGTTACAAGTTATCTTTTTATTTTAAAATTCAGTTTACCAATAGTGAAAACAATGCTTATGATAAGCTTTGAGCCGATGACCTTGAATTAGAAAGACTATCACAAAAGCCACAGAGTCCATGAAAATAATTTGTTGTAATTTTATACTTAAATTAAAAGTTGTTTAAATCAATTTGTTATAATTTGAACATGTCGGATCGTCTCTGCCCCTCACTTGCGCCGACCTCCACATTTTCAGGCATGATGCTATATTAGAATATATATGTTGAATCTTGATTTTTAAGGCCGAGATCAATATGCTTGCCACCAACTAAGAAATTATTTCTTTCCCTACCGAAGATCTATATTATCATCATCTGTTATGTTTATGTGTTTCATTAATCAACACTAAGTAAAACTTTGTTCTTGGTTGGAAAGATAAAATAAGAATAAGCTAATCCACATTATATATATATATATATATATATATATATGTGTGTGTGTGTGTGTGTTATCTGCATATAATATTTATACACTAAAATAAATTATATAGATAATATTCGTGCCAATCAGACGAGTTTGGGTTGGATTAATCGGGTTCGGGTTGGTTGGGCTGATTACTCGGGTCGGGTCATGTTTTGACACCTATAGCTGCAGGTGCCCCATCGAGTTTTGTTAATCTGAATATGGCTTGTATCTCCGTAGCTTCTATGTAGATTTAGTGGAATGGAGGACTGACACAACTATTCACACCATCCAGAGGGTTACGACAAGGCTGCCCCCTATCTCCTTATATATTCAATTTATGTATGGAGTGACTCACCCATTTGATAAACGACTCTGTTAGAAACAAGGTTCCTAACGTGTTTGGGAATTGGGGAAATTAGCTAGATCAATTAGGGATTGATCTAACTAGGGATTAGGAGATGGGAATTTGAGAACAAGAAGGGGAAAAGAGAGGGAAGTTGCTGCCGCAGCTTTGGAGGGAAGAGAGAGGGGAAGTCGGCGCAGGAGAGAGAGAGAGGAAGATTAGGATTTAGGTTTTAGTTCTGTAATTGCTTAATGAAAAATAATGCCCTAGTACAGATTATATAATCCGCCTAATCCCTATCAACTACCCAACTAATGAAACATAACAATCAACTCCCTGTTTATTCCCAAATACCCCAAATAATACCCCAAACCTTAAAACCTACAATAATCCGAATTAATAAGAAAAACGACAATTAATGTGTTTCCCACATCCCCGCTTCCTTAGAAAAACAACCTTGTCCCCAAGGTTGTTCCTCTAGCCCACTAGGCCTCCTTACCATTTCAGCCGTCCTCGACCTCATCTTCTGCTTCATCTTCCCAGCGCCCGACTAACATCATCAAATCCGGCTTCGGGCACTGATGCCCGATGCTGAACCGGCCATCACAGTTGAAGCACTTGCCTTCCCGCCTCTTCTGCTCAATCTCAGCCGGCGACAGTCGCACGAACCCTTTCGGTATGGCCCGCGGTCCCATCCTGGCCACCGAAGCAGGACCTCCACTGCTCATGTTAGCCCCAGTCGAACCTCCTCCTGGCACCCCTCCTGTGCCGCCACTGCTCCCGGTGCTTCCTCCTCCTCCACTTGTCTTCGAGAAGCGGCCAATGGTGCTCCTCCAGCTAGCCAGTTCTTCCTCCTTATGACCTGCAAGATGGAAAGCAGTTTTCAAGGAATCGGGCTCGAACACTCTGACGGCCGCTGCTATCTCGGGCTTGAGACCCGCCATGCACAGCCCCACCAAGGTGTCCTCTGAGACACCTTTACACTGGTTCCCCAACTTGAAGAACTCCGCACGGTATTCAGCCACCGTGCCGGTCTGCTTCAGCTTCGCCAACTGCTCAGGAGCCCACCCGTCAGACTTTCCAAACTGATAACGGAGCTCCTCCTGAAACATGGGCCAAGTAATCAAAGTCGCTGCGGCTGCGTAGGATCTCTCCATCCACTCCCACTCCCACCACTGGAGCACATCTCCCTCCAAATAGAACGATGCTAGATAGGCCTTCCTCTCTTCCGGAATTGGGTGGTTCTTAAACCACCTCTCAACTGCATACAACCAAAGGCCTGCATCCTCTTGCCCATTGAATTTTGGAAACTCAATGGTAGGAGGCTTAGCTCGAAAAACTACTCCATCCATTCCTTCACAATTCATATAGTGGGACCCATACCTGTCATTTCCTGGGGTCCTCCACGGCTGCCCAAATGGAGCGCACTACATCTGGCTCGGATTTCCGTGCCCATAATCACCCGGGTAGCTCCCTTGTTGGTTCGGGTACCCTCCTGGAGCGTGAAGTGGCTCGTAAGGTCCCTCCCAGCCTACTGGTCCCCTGATGTCCACCCTCCTAATCGGCTGAGAAGTAGGGCTCGGTCGATGTCCGGTTCGACCCACCTCCGGTCGACCCGTTCCGGTCCTGTTCGGCTCAACTTGGTCCAATCCGCGTCGGTCCGCCCGATCCCAGTCGACCGGTATCGGCTCGACCCGCTCCTGCCCAGTCCGTTGCGGTCCGCCCCATTGGAGCCGACCCTCCCTGTCCCATCTGGTCACCGGCCCTCCTCGGCCCACCCGACCGCCTCAGGTCCACCTCCGGTTCAGCCCACTGGGCCTGCTGATCCGCAGGCTCAGTTTGTGATACTCGGGCCCATCTTCCAGATCCAACCATCCCAGCCCGTTATCGACCTTCGTGTAGTGGCTCAACGGTCCCGGCCCATTACCCATAGGCGGCCCGTCTGTGTCATACCCGGGCATCTTAGCCTTTCCCTTCCGAGCCGCAATCTCTTGGGCCGTAGGCGTCGGTAACAGACCCAAGCCCAACCCTACTGCAGTTCGGTCAGCTCGGCCCGGCCCGGTGTCCGCCGCCCTGCTTCCTTCGGCCTTCGCGATCGACGCACCGGCCAGAGCCGCCGGCGCCGCCGCGCTCGCCCCGCCGCCATCTTTCGCGAGAGCCGCGCCCGCCGGCGTCGCCGCGGTCCCGCCGACAGCCGCCTCGCCCGCCGCGGTCGCCGCCGTCTCCGCAGCCCCCGTCGCGCCGCCTCCTCCGCTCGCCGACTCAGCCGGAATCGGAGCTCCCCCTGATCTGTCCCCCTTTTCCTGCAGCGAGGCAATCGCCCACATCAGGTCCTCCAGCCTCTGTCGCAGATCATCAGCATCCTCCTTCGCGTCAGCCTGCACCCTTGCCAGGCCTACTTCGAGCCGAGCCAGTGCATCAGAGTGCTCGTGCACCACCAGTTTCACCGCCTCCAGCTCGGTGACGTCCTCCATCACCACCCCGTCGAGATCAACATCGCCCGCCTCGGTGTTCCTCTCTGCTGGCTGAGCTGCCTTCTCCACTGCCTTCATGGATTTCGTCGACACCATTGTTGTTTTCCCTGGTTCAAGAGCTCAAAGAACTCACTCTCGAACCTTGCTCTGATACCAGATGTTAGAAACAAGGTTCCTAACGTGTTTGGGAATTGGTGAAATTAGCTAGATCAATTAGGGATTGGTCTAACTAGGGATTAGGAGATGGGAATTTGAGAACAAGAAGGGGAAAAGAGAGGGAAGAGAGAGGGGAAGTCGGCGCAGGAGAGAGAGAGAGAGAGAGGAAGATTAGGATTTAGGTTTTAGTTCTGTAATTGCTTAATGAAAAATAATGCCCTAGTACAGATTATATAATCCGCCTAATCCCTATCAACTACCCAACTAATGAAACATAACAATCAACTCCCTGTTTATTCCCAAATACCCCAAACCTTAAAACCGACAATAATCCGAATTAATAAGAAAAACGACAATTAATGTGTTTCCCACAGACTCTGTGAGGACAGGGACTAGGCAGCCGATCAAGCTGACCACCATGGTCCTGCTCTCTCACACCTATTTTTTTAGAGATGATCTCATCCTGTTGGTGGAGCATCCATGGAGAAAGTGAATGCAATCAATTTATTCTTTAAGACCTTTGGCGCTGCATCCGGACATGAGATTAGCAAACCCAAGCCGCTGATCTTTTTCTCCGCCAATGTTACACATCAACAGCGTGCGCCATTGATTGCTGCAATGGGAATCACGGAAACTGCGAACCTGGGTGTTCTAGTCATCCACGACAGAGTCTCCAAGGCCATTTATACTAACCTGATTGATCGTATTGATGCTTGTCTTGCAGGGTGGAAGGCGCAACCATATCCCTGGCGGCTTGAGTGACCTTGGCACAATCCGTCCTCTCCTCACTACCGGCGTACACCATGCAAACCTTGCTACTCCCCCCGAGTTTTCATGATTATATTGACAAGAAAATTCGAGGGTTTGTATGGGGGAGCACGGAGAGTGGAAGGAAGATTCACCTGGCCGAATGGGCAACTATATGTCGTCTGAAGGAGGAAGGAGGCCTCAGGCTCCGGGATTCAGTTAGAACAAATGAAGCCTATATGATGAAGGTGGTGTGGAGGCTGCTTAACCAGCCAACTGAACTATGGGCCAGGGTCATTCGCGCAAAATATCTACGACAAACACCGGATAGGTGGGTGCCCAGGCGGCAAGGACGCCTCTCCAATTTATGATGAGGAGTAATCAGAGTTTGGAACCGAATTGAAGAAGGCACAACGTGAAATATCAAGAATGGGAGAACGGTACGCTTTTGGAGTGACCGTAGGCTCACGGATGCAGAACCATTACGAGCACTTGCACCTTCCATTCCTCAAGATTTTCTCAACATGCCGGTGGCGGAGTTTGTCTTGAATGGTAGGTGGAACACTGATTTCCTGAGGGTTTATTTACCTGCTCATGTGGTTGCACAGGTGGAGCTTAACCACATCCCAACGGAGATCGAGGAGGACGTGCGCATTTGGCGGGTGACGGGCAATTCTCAGTCAAGACAACATACACCCTCGCGGACGACTCTGAGGAGGCTTTCCCGACTAGGGATGGAAACGAAACCCGAACCCACAGGTACCAACCCGAACCAACCCGGTCAACGTGGGTAAAACCCGTGTTGACGGATTTTGGGCCGGGTTCGGGTTTAAACATGCTACACTGTTCACCAGGTTGGGTTTGGGTTTAGGTAAACCCTTCCTACAGTTTTGGCAACAAACACAATGTGGCAAATGCGTCCAATTGACCTATGTCAAGCGATTTATAAATGCATTGGGAATCTCATCACGCTTCATTTCCACGTTTGCTTACCTGAGATTGCCAGACCCTCACAGAATGGCTTCATCAAAGGAAGGTTGATTACTAATAATGTTCTCTTAATTGGATTAACAGACTATGCATTTCTTGAAGATTAAATTGAGGGGTCGGGATCGTAGGATGACTCTCAAATTAGATATGGAGAAAGCATATAATTGTCATAAACCAGTTAATCCAAAAAACTCGAGTTGTTGGGAGAAGGTTATACTGAATCTTATACCACACTCTAACACGCCCCCTCAAACGAAAGCCAACGCATGGGCTTGAAGTTTGCACAGGCCCACCATACCTTGTGCTTTAATCAATTGTTAATATTAGGGTCGTGGAGGTTCGAACACACGACCACTTGGTCAAACTAGCCCTAATACTATGTCACAAACTAGTTGGTCCCAATAACTCAAGTTATTGGGATCAACTGGTTTATGACATGGTATTAGAGCCTTCTATGACAGAGAGCTCTTCTGTTCGAATACTGGTAACCCCCATCTCTTTACCGGCAAGTGCTAAGAATTTAGAGTGCCACTGTTGCAATCTTGCCACAAAGACATCTTCCATGAACTAGAACCTAAGCTTCTCAGATTGATGTACCTGACATGGAAGTCCAAAATAACCATCTTTTGGCCCCATGGCAGTGATTCCCATAAGAGCATCAATGGTTTGGGCACCCGAGTCAGGTACACTAAAACTAAAAAAAAGCATGTTAATTTTTGTATATTTACTCTTATACCACTTACATCATCATATGCATGCAATTTAGTGCACTTCGAGATCGAATCTCGAATAAAGACATAAGAGACTTATGCAAAAAAAACACGAGAAAGCTTAGAACTTTGTGGGTTCATTCGAATACCATGAAAAGACCCCATATCAACATGGGAACTAATTACAGAAAAGAATGTATGGGTGTAGATCGCAAATAAAAGTGGTGATAGTGGGTCTACTTGTTGTATACCATTTTGAGGTTGAAAATAGCCGTGTAGAGAGATCCATTGATGAGTATAGAAAAAGAAACCATATTGACACTCTCGAGCCCAATTAACCCATGATGCACAAAAATCCCAACTTTTCCATGGTCGACTATAGGAAAACCCACTCAACACGATTATTGTCATAAACCAGTTGGTCCCAATAACTCGAGTTGTTAGGAGAGGTTCTATCGTGGATCATATACCACACACTACATGCACCCTCAAACAAAAGACACCATATAGGGGCTTGAAGTTTGCACAAGTCCGGACAACATGTGCTTAATAGAAACAGATGGGGGTTACCAGTATTCGAATAGAAGACCTCTCCTTCATAGAAGGCTCTGATACCATGTCATAAACCAGTTGGTTCCAATAACTCGAGTTACTGGGACCAAGTGGTTTGTGACATAGTATCAGAGCTGGTTTGACCAAGTGGTCGTGTGTTCGAACCTCCACGACCCCAATATTAACAATTGATTAAAGCACAAGGTATGGTGGGTCTGTGCAAACTTCAAGCCCGTGCGTTGGCTTTCGTTTGAGGGGGCGTGTTAGAGTGTGGTATAAGATCCAGTATAACCTTCTCCCAACAACTTGAGTTTTTGGGATCAACTGTTTTATGACAATTATATGCTTTCTCCATATCTAATTTGAGAGTCATCCTACGATCCCGACCCCTCAATTTAATCTTCAAGAAATGCATAGTCTGTTAATCCAATTAAGAGAACATTATTAGTAATCAACCTCCCTTTAATGAAGCCATATTGTGAGGGACTGGCAATCTCAGGCAAGCAAACGTGGAAATGAAGCGTGATGAGCTTCCCAATGCATTTTTAAATCACTAGACATAGGTCAATTGGACGCATTTTCCACATTGTGTTTGTTGCGAAAACTTTAGGAAAGAGAGATAGCCTGGTATGGTTGAAGGTTTAAAGGAGATGCCCACGGTGAAGGAAAGCCAAGAGAGTAAAAGAAATCATAGAAGAAATACCCTATAAAGCCATCAGACCCGGAAGCCCGATAAGAAATGACAAAAAACTTCTCTACGAATTCAGACAATGAAACTGAGGTAGTAAGAGTCGTATATTCATGGACTCGGATACTACAGTTGGGAGGTCGACAAAAGTTTAAAAAGTTGGAGAAGAGATTCCAGAGGAAGATAACAGCCGAACAAAGTAAGAGACTTCAATCGGACCTTTGAAAACTTCACCCATTTTCAAAACAACATGCTCATCATGGAGGTTCAGGATAGTATTTCGACGACGTCGTTGTAAAGTAGTAGAGTGGAAGAACTTTGTGTTGGCATCCTTCACGAAGCTAGTGAATACATGAATTCCTCTTTTAATACAATTCTTCTTGACGATAAGCTTTTGAAAGAGCCATTTCTAGATGATCAACCTGAGCCCAATCGATGGGAGTAGTGAGCTTGACTTGTTCAATAAACGCCTTCAAGTTATGAACTGACGAGCATAATTTGATGCCCTTGCAGAGGCCCAACCAATCAACTATAGTTAAAATTTTTTAATTTATTCAATTTATATGCCAGAGGTTGACTGTGGAACCATATTTCATGACCTTAATACAACTCGATGACCATAGAAATGATTCGAAAAGCCTCTATGTGTTTACACTTAAAAATAATCCTGTACCACATTGATTATTTACAAGGTACCTATTGTCTTTATAAGGCTAGGTCAATTAATAATAATTAATTTAATTTTAACTCGGCCTCTTAGTGGTAGATTTTTAAGCCGAGCCGACTAAGTTCCCAAGAAGGCACTAATTTCATCGCAAGGGAGCTAAGTCTGGTTGATGACATTGGTCACGAGATTTAGAAGGCCTTCGCCACTAGATTAGATCTATATAACCTTTGTCGCGAGGTCTGAGAGGACCACGAAGTTGTCAACGAATGAAGAGTTCGATAATCTAGTCAACGAGTAAATTATAACAAGTTATCAACGTGAGGAGATCTAAGAAGTGCAAGGAAACTCCCAAGGCGATCCAGAAGTTGTAGTGAAGAATACGATAAGTTGTAAGAAGGGATCATATGGCCTCGTTTCAGAACAAGTAATAAGAAAAGCTATTTCGAATAAACTAAGCTTTTAATTAGCAACCATTGCATGAGCATATGCATTTATAAGTATATATATTGGATGATCTCATTGACATATAATAACGAACCTAGGATTATGACTGATGTTCACATAGGTGCTCAGAAATTGTAGAAATATCATAAGCATACTAAGGGATTCAACCAGATCATTTGAAGATGAAAGACTATAGAGAACTTCCAATATGAAGATTTTTCAATCTCTTGTACTTAGAAACTTCATGTGTTTTATTACGAATGTTTATGTTGTCAGATTTTGTCAGTTTAGATGAATTTTTATTTGTTTGGTTCTAAATTTTGTAATAACGATATTTTATGAAAAATATTGCCAATATCTTTTCAAGTCTTTGTATTTATCTTATGTTTAAGTTTCAACGATTTGATAATTAATATTATTTTAATACAATCAATGTCTTACCAAATTATGATATTACATTTAAATTGATGTTATCCTTTTGTTGTTGCTTGGTTCTTAATATATATATTTTGTGGGAGTTCTGAATATTTTTTTGGGTTAATACCTTATTTGGTCTGAATTATACCCAAAGTTTCTACTTTGGCCTGTGGTTTCTGAAATTGCTCCCTTGGCCCGAACTATGCACCTTACTTCCTTGCTTGGCCCAACGCGGGTTTTGACCGTCAAATTGGAAGTTCAACTCTATTGACCGTTAGTCAAGCGCCAAGTCACTTGCCACGTCAGCGAACCCGATTGACCGTCAAAATCCACATTTTTATTGACTGTCAAATTTGATGGTCAAAACCTGCACCAGGCCAAACAAGGGAGTATGGTGCATAGTTTGGGCCAGGAAAGCAATTTCATAAACCACGGGCTAAAGTAAAAAGTTTGAGTATAGTTCGGGACAAAATAAGGTATTAAACCTATTTTTTAAAACCGTGAAAACGTGAAAAGTGGGGAAGCTGTAGAAAAGAAGGAGCCCTGCGTACGCAAGTTATGGAATGAACAAGGAAGCAGCCATTAACAATCAAATTTGGTGAACTATCCAATCCACACAATATATTCATGCAATAGAATCAGTAAGAGTAGCAGAGCCATAAAAAATGATTCTTGCGCACGTACTTTATGCATGGAACAATAACATGCCGTATCATCCTATTTAATCAATCTAATAAATGAATAACCCTCACAAAATATCGTTTTAGAAAAAAAATTACACATTCTGTACAAAACCCAAAACAACTAGCAATCATGGGAGGTAGTACGAGCAAATTAGTTGACGTGGCATTGGAAAGGGAGGTTTCAAGAATTGGAAAAAATAACAAAGAGGGAGATCATAGTAAAGAAAAGAGGAGCACTAGTAGTAGTAATACTATGAGTTGGAGAAGCAGCTGGTTTCCGAATGAATTGGTAATCGATATTTTGAAGAGGATGGATGATGGTTCTTGCATCGTCAGACTACATTGCCTCAGCAAATCATGGTGTCAAATTTTGTCTCATCCCAATTTCATTCACAGTTTTCTCATTTTTGACAATCGAATGGATCATCGTCGACATATAATTGTGATGCATACTCGTCTACATCGTCTTCGTTAGCAAACAAAGGTGTATCGTGGTCGTCCTTGTGGTGTTTAGCCTGACGCCTAAGAAAGCTTTTTTTCATGCAAAGTACCCCAAGTAAAGATGATGATGATGATGATGATGATGATGATGATGCACGTGGAATGACATACTCTTTGCACTCTTACGACACGCTAGGAGAGCAAAATGTATTAGATGAAAATAGCCTTAATCATCCTCGTCCTCCTGAAGTAGTAGTTAATGTTAATCCTCATAACTCGATTATTGTTGGGATTTGCGATGGGATATTGTGTATAGGTAGTCGAAAAAATGGTCGAGAGGCTGCTTAATGTTTGATTTTATGGAATCACACAAATGGAGAAGCTAAGCAATTGCCCTCAATTCCTTCAATTCCCTCTCTTCCTCCTTCGCCTCGTGATCGTTACCTAGAAAAAAAACCATCCCCTGTAATCGAAGAATATTTTGGTTTCGGTTTCGATTCTAAGAAGAGCGATTACAAAATTGTTGAAATTCTTACCTTGAGATATTCTATAGAGCCTTCCGTCGACGAGAATCGGTATCATAACCTGTTTAGCTATTCCTCCAAGTACCCATTAATTTGCACTTGGGTTTACAGCATGAGGGATGGCAAGTGGAGGGAGCTTAGAATAAGCAGCAAGATGGTTATTGAGAATTCCCCTCTACCCTATTTTGCTCAGAACTACAAGCTTCTTGTCAACAGTAAAAACAACATAACCTCATGGTTCCATTCCTGCGGCATGTGTAGAAAATGCTACATTATGAACTTCGACATGAACAAGCAAGCATTCGAGCTCGAAACGTTTGGGATGCATCGCGACTTTGATCGTTATTGTTTACATCCAGATTCCCTCGCCATGGGTCTTGTGATGAAAAGCAACTCCATCATGGCGATCTACAGTATGGTTGATTTGGATTTCTTTAGGGCTAATTTCCGTCAATACTATTATGAGGTATGGGGGATCCTGGACTATAAGAAGCTCATTAATAGAGACTCATCATTGTCATCTTCTTATGGTAATTGGATTAAGTTGTTTAGCTTTGAAGAATATTTGATGCGCCCACTTGTTTCGTCTGATACGTTCTCTTACCTGACCAGTCTTTCTGGAATTCGGAAGGAAGGCTACTATTTTTCCATGGGGGAGAATGGAGAACTTAATCTCTTCAACCCTGAAACCCAACAGCTTAAGCCTCTTCAGGTCGGCCATGGAGATAAGGATTGGCGTATTTTTGAGATTTTTGCCTACACTCCAACTACTATTTCATTGTCAGGATTCAAGCGCGATGGAATAGGTTTCTCAAACAAGTTTAATTTCTAAGGGAAGCTTGAAGATTCTTACAAGGGAAAGGATTGAAGTTTCCTGGATGCATGTAATGGTGTTTGTTACGATATGAGCTATTTGTAATTATTTAAAATTTATGGGTCGTATATTTGTAGAAGTATTATTAATTAGTTCATATTGCGTATTATTTTGATCTTATTATTATTTAATTGTCTTAATAGGATTTCGAGTGCTTTTTAGTAGTTGTCTAGGATTTGGTTATTGTTTCCTTGTAGGAGAAGTTTCATATTTCAGGTAGGAGAAAGGAGAAGTTCTATACCTATAAATATGTACTTCGTCTTTCGTTTAATAATATGAGAACATTGGAACTCAACTAGTTTATAGCTTTCGCCTTCACATCCTCTATTTCTCTTCATTCTAAAGCAATTCTTGAATTCCTTTATTCGATTTGTGTGAGACGCGTTGCGTGAAAGCTCTAATCTAGAAAATCCACGTAATAGTGTTGCACTGAAATAGAAGAGCCAATAATTAGTTTGGAACTGAGAGTATTTTGGAAGGATTGTTTTGGAGACGGTGGCAATTTTTAATCAATAAGCTAAACGATGCATTTAGTTCAAAATGTAGAGTTGCTTCTTTGACTCGTATCTACACATAATACAATAGCAGAATGAGGAAAACTATTGCTCCATTTCAAATTTGCTGCAACGAGAGTGAAAGTAGGAAGGACAGTTTTGTCTTCACAATTACTTATTTTTTATTTATTCATAAAAAAGACACGTATTGGGAATCGAACCATGCTCACTTTAAAGAAAAGCAAGAAACATAACCAATCATACTAAGTATATTAGTTGTATCTTTTTAAATTAAAAACACAAACCTATTCTGAAAATCATATGACCTTTTCAACGATTAGTTGGCCATTAAATCTCCCGTAAATACTTATTTGGTGTTTTGATACTGTGATTTTCATATTTTGATTATTTTTATTGTAGTTTAATACTTAATTTAAATTTTTGGCTAGCTTATAAATATATGATAACCCTAAAATTGCAGCACAAATATCATTTGTTCGAATATTGCATATCGAATTGCAATATTAAATATGTAGAAGCAATGTCAACTTCTTAAATGAGTTTTAGTTTAGAAAATATCTTTGTGCAAACTATATGGGATTGGTATTTTTGATGTTTTAGTCGGGTTAACCGCTACATTTTAAACCTCTTTCTTAATCTGGCATGATTGGATCCAATGATCATTATACGAGAGATTGAGTTTAATAGGGTGGCTGATTTCACCACTTTTTGGGGTGTTAATGAATTTGTAGGACAATTACATGTCTACACGTAGACTTATCACTCATCACAATCTACACATAATATAAAGGTGAAATGAGAAATGAGGGATCCCATTTCAAATTTGGTGCATCCAGAGCAATTTTTTGAGGATTAAATTCAGAAGGCTCCTGTGCGGGCGGTCTGCTGAGCACGAAAGTAAAGACATTATTTGATTTAAACGGGCCCAAACTATGATTTGGCCCACTAATCGTTCACCCATAGCAGCCTCGCCAAACCTTCTCATTCTACTACACGGGTCATCTCCTCCGCCACGAACCTACTCTCCTCATGTTCCAAAGTTCTCACTGAACCTAAATCTCTACAACCTAGGCCAAATATTCTAACTGGAATGTGCAGAGGGAGCAACCAACTGATTGCAGCTATCCCCACTGTTCTTATATCTAATCAAGAAAAGCCCCATTTGTTCAACTGTATGGTGATTCACTTAATTAACACACTCCACTCCATTGACAACCTCCTCTTCTCAATTGTATTGTGTTCACGAAGATATGACGGCAGCAAGTGCAGTATATTGCAATGATTAAGTGATACAACTCAAGAGCTGTTATGCACATCAGGTAGTTGGGATATTAATTGATAACGATTTGGGATTATTCCGAAAAGTACAAAATTTGGAACTTGGCTTATATTGCATTGATCAATAGTGATTTTGAGATTTTTCAAATGGGTGATTTGACATGTTAAACTCTCATGTTTTTGAAAATGGAACATTCGAAGTGGAATATGAAGATTTTTTGTTAAACTTGGTTTCGTAATGCACTTATGGATGTTTATTCTCTAAAATGCAGTTTTATTTCAAAGTAACCCATCGCAAATGGCAGGTCAGGATACAAAAATTGTACCAGTATACGTTTATATCATTCGTAGGAAGCAGATTGAATTCATTCTACTATATGCTTTAGTTAAATGCTCAGTTGTTCTTTCAACTAAAAGTTGGGCTTAAATGTTGTGATTAGCCTAAGAAATGTATGTCTTTGCATTAACTGTTAATGATTGTGAGGTTTGGTTTAAGGGTGAAAAGTCCATTTATTAAGAAGTAATCCAATGCCTGAATTCCATTTTGAAGTTTGAATTGGACAAACCTGTTGGAAAATAGGCATGCCATACATTAGTGTCGTGGGAGGTTTGTTTGATGTCTCAAGGTTTTGGATTTTCTAGAGGGTTGTTTGTTGTGACAGAGAGTCCCTAGAGCTAGCGAGGTATTCTAATGCGGGCTTTTCTGTTGTTTGGCAATTTCTTGTAACACCCCGACTTTGGGTTTAGGTTCGACCAAAATACGGGAACAGTTGGGTTAACGGTTACGTACGAAGGGTTGCTACTGCGGATTATGAGTAAAAAAAAAAATAATAATAATAATTATCAGGGCCGAGCGGTTCCTTCCCCTTAATTATTTAAGGGAAAAAGGGTTTCTCGGTTTGGAAGCTCCAACTGGGGAATTAATTAGGGCCGAGCGGTTCCTTATGAATTATTTAAAAAAAATTAAGGGGAAGGAACCGCTCGGCCCTGATTAATTCCCCAGTTGGAGCTTCCAAACCGAGAAACCCTTTTTCCCTTGGCCTACCGCCGCAACCCTAGCTTTACCACCGCCATTATTTTGTTGGCCCGATCGAGGAGGAGCAGTGCGACAAGCTGTGGAGAGGCCATCGCAGCGAACACCGCCTTTCCACGTCCCTACCAAGAGACCTGCCTGCTTAAGCAGGTGGAGCGAATGAACACAGGAGCTGGTGGCCTGCCACGAGAGCTGCTTCGTTAAGCAAGCTCCTCAAGCAGGCAGGAGGTCGCGGCGGGACTGGTCGTGGCCAAAGAAAGCGACAGTGGGGCAAGAGGTTTCGGAGCCGTCGTCGCCAAAAAAAGTGACGTCAGGGATAAGCCTTCTGCCTTCTTCGGCCCTCCCTACTACGAGAGCTGGTAGCTTCAGCAGCCTCGTCCGTGTCTTCGTCGTCAAAGCGTGGACAGCCTCCCTACTGTGAGAGCTGCTAGCTTAAGCTAGCTCGTCTATTGTTAACCAAGCTGGTCTGTTGTTACGGCCATCCCCCGGAGCAAGTCCATTGTTTAGCCAAGCTACTGTGAGAGCTGCTAGTTTAAGCTAGCTCGTCCATTGTTAAGCAAGCTGGTCCGTTGTTACTGCCATCCCCCGAAGCAAGTCCATTGTTTAACCAAGCTGGTCCGTTAAGCTGGTTCGTTGTTATGGCCATCTCCACCAAAGCAAGCTGCTCAATTTTCAAACAAGTAGGAGTGTACTGGGAAGCGAGTATGAAATCATTGGAGCAAAATCAGAGCCATTTCCGACGGAAGTAAGGTGAGTGTAAAGGGGTAAATTCTACGCCTTACGTGTTCTTTCAAGAATTACACGCCTTAAGTATTTTTGATGAAGTGATTGTCGTTGTTTGATTATGCTTATGGTTGATGATATGTGATTTTGTTTGAGCTATGTTTGATGTGAATGTGCATGAGCTCTTATTTAAATTAAAGCTTTAAGTTTATAAGTTATTATTAAAGTTTAAGAAACAAGTTCTTTTTAAAGAAGTAACTCACCTCCAAGAAGGTGAAGTCGTTTTTATATGTTTTAGTCACTAGCGCTAGTCCGTTGCCATTTGAGATTTTTAGATAGAGCAGCAGTTATGCTCTTGAGATCTTTGAGATAGAGCAGCATTTATGCTCTTGAGACTTTTAAGATGAGCAGCAGTTATGCTCTTGAGAATCGTGGTGAATAGCCACCACGATATGTTTAAGATGTTAGGGGGATGAGTCGTTACGACTTCCCTAACTAAGTTTAAGGAAAGCCTGGATGGCTTCTCATACGTATGAGTTGGCAACTGGACTAGCTAGTGAGGGATCCCAGTGTCAGTCAAGTATTTAAGTCAAGATTTGAGCTTTAAGAGAGGAGAGTAACTTCAACTCCCTCAAAGTTAAGAGTTAAGGTTTTAAGATTGGAAGTACAAAACAACTTCCACTAGTTAAAGTAAAGTGTTTAAGCAAAGTACTCAAGTATAGGAAAGTTTAAAACGTAAGGGCGTAGACTGACCCCATCTCACTCACCAGTTCGAAGAGGAAGGAGCTAGAGGAGCAGTTAGAGAGCAGCGAGTTCGAGAGGAAAAGTTCGAGGGCAGCCAGCTAGAGGAGGGCAGTGCAAGCGTCACGGAGGATGCCTAGTTAAGATTCTCAGTAGCAGCAACGACATAGACCACCTAGTTATTTACATCTTATGATTATGAGTATAGACTGGAGATCAAATTGAGATTTTAAAGTTTGAGTTTAATTTGCCCACGTGTTAGGGATTTGCTCTGAGCTAAGTGTGTGTTTTCAGTATTTTATTTATGAAAAAATTTTCCCAGTTGAAATTTAAGATTTGATTATTTTATTTATCAAGGGCATTTTAGTAAAAGTAGTACCCGGCCGGGTTAGGGTGTTTCATTTTGGTATCAGAGTCGGTCTTCCTCTGTTCCTTGGTTTTCAGGGAATACTGGAATGTCGGTCTCGGTTTTAAAGTAGTTTTTTTAAGGAAGGGAAAATTATTCAAAGGTTTTCTTTCAAGAGTTTATAGAATCTCCAGTCTACTCTAGTTGTGTTAAAGTTAATAACACCAGTTCGAATAAAAGAGGTTCAATCATAGGGGAATACCTCAAGAGTATTGAAGGACTTCAGGAAGGAGTACGAGGATTTTACTACTGAAAAACAAGC